ATTTCCTGATCTGGTGATCCACCTGCCTTGGCCTCTCAAAGTGCTGGGATTCTTAATGGGATAAGAGTCAAGAACTCAATTAGTTGGCTAGGCCCTAGATTCCACAAAGGAAGTGAAGATGAGAGGCACCAAGACTGCCCATCTGGTCACCCATCTTTCACTAATGCAAAATTTGAATCATTTCAGCCATCTGACACCAGGGGTTTGCCTACTTAAATGAAGTATTCACCAAGACACAAAGTTTAAGAAGTAGTCTTCATTGAATACACATTTAATGAGCAACTTCTATGTGCTAAGCACCAGCGTTAGATCTGATTATTAGGTTCAGTAATCAATGGGCTGCATGTAATTATTGAGCCTCCTTTATTCTTTACACTGATCCTTTCTCTTGCCACTCCCCTTCTCTGTCTACACTGTAACCAAAACAGTCCAGAATTTGGGGAAGAATAATCGACACCTGATGGGTCTAGTCATCACACGATGGTGTGATGGACACAATGCAGCCAGTCTACAACCTAGCCTTGTTTCTACTACTCTGACAATATATTGACTAGACACCTAAAAGCATGTTCAATAACTTACTAGCACCTATTGCAAGGGGGATGACAACAGTGGTAGAAAATATTTCATTATTTTAATTTTTAAGTATGTCTAAGGAAAATGAACCTATGTTTACTTGCAATTCTTTTAAAAATCAGCCTATGTGCATCTATGACCTATTTCCCTTGTCTCCTATAACTTGTAAAAAAATTATTTAAATTTTAAAGATATTAACAATTAGTCTTTTATATATGTTATGTATTTATGTGTTGTGACTATTCTATTCTTCTGTGTTGCATGCCTAGTAATTCCCTTTATGTTGTTTTAAAATAAAGTCATTTAAAGTATTTATGTATTAAAATCTACCCATCTTTTCCTGTAGGCATCTTGTCAATAATCTAATATTTAGAAAGGTCATCTGAGCCACGATGATAAAATCTCCTTCATTTTAAGCAAACAATCTGTGGTTTCACTTATCAAATGTAAATCTTTAATCCATTTGGAATGCATTTTGGAATAAAGTGTAATGCAAAAAAATCTAACATTCCCCTCAAATATTTAAGACTATCCCATTCTTTCACTACTAATTCAAATATTCCCTCTAACATATCTAATAAATTAAAATACATATACACACAGATATTTCCATTCTGTTACCCTGATCTATTTTGGTGCCCCAAATACACTTTTAGAGTACCATTTCATAACAAATTTTTCTATGTGACCACTTCTCCTTAATTTTCTCAGAATTTTCCCATTTTCATGTTTTGTCATTTAAAAATAGTTTTACTAGCCTTGAACTTCCTTTGTATATCAATTTGGGGAGAAAAATACTTAGAAAACCATACATATAATCCGATCCCAATTTGTAGAAAAAAAAAAAAAAAGTGGTTTTTTTTTTTTTGAGATGGAGTCTCATTCTGTCACCCAGGCTGGAGTGCAATAGCGCAATCTCAGCTCACTGCAACCTTCGTCTCCTGGGTTCAAGCAATTCTCCTATTTGAGCCTCCCAAGTAGCTGGGATTACAGGCACATGCCACCACGCCTAGCTAATTTTTTGTATTTTTAGTAGAGATGGGGGTTTCACCATGTTCCCTAGGCTGTTCTCGAACTCCTGAGCTCAGGCAATTCACCTGCCTTGGTGATTTCAGGCCTGACTGCCTAGGATTACAGGTGTAAGCCACCATGCCTGGCCTAGTTGTGTGATCTTTATTACAAATATTTATGTATATACATAATTCCAAGAATGTATGGTAAAGTATTATCTGCTTCAGGTGTGTGCTAGGTATCTCCCATTTGTCCTCCTCCCACTCACCACTCCCCATCACCCCTCCTCGGCCCCCCTTCCCACCATCTACTTTCCTTCCTGCTCTATGTCCCCCACACTTACCAACACAGGCTATACAAAAGGTCTTCCTTGCCCTCTGGCTTCCAGTTTGGCCAAAGGGAAATACCCAGGAGGTGATGGAAGGGAAGAGAGTGAAGTCAAATATTTGTTCCCTCTCATTCCATTTTCTTTTCAGGGTCGCTGTGAGCTGACTGCATCCTGAAGATTACAGTTACTGTCAGATGGACCCTTCCGCACAGCTGTATACCATTCCAGTAACTCCTCCCTTCCCTCCCTCTGCTCTCCCCCTCCCTGCTTCCATTCCTCTTAGTCTCCTTTGTAGAGGGGTAGTAACACTATGTTATGGCCTGAATTATGCACCCACACCTCCCTGCACCCACTAAATTTATGTTGAAGTCCTAATTCCCAATACCTCAGAATGTGACTGTAGTTGGAAACAGGGTCTTTAGAGAGATAACTAAATTAAATAAGGTCATTGGGGTGGGTCCTAATCCGATGACTAGTGTTCTTATAAGAGATTAGGACACAGATACAGAGAAAAAAGCCATGTGATGACAAAGAGGATGGCCATGTAGAAGCCAAAGAGAGAGGCCTCAAAAAAATCAACTCTGGCAAAACCTTGATCTGACTTCCAACATCCAGAACTGTGAGAAAATATTAAGCCACTCAGTCTGTGGTACGTTGTTATGGCAGCCCAAGGCAGCTAATACACATCACAACCCTACCCCTCTGGTGACAACTCAGGGAAAAAATTCTTTAACTTTTCTCAAATCATCCATTTTTGAGTCCCATTTATTTATTGCTGGGACCCTGACTGATCCAGGAGAATTATATGATTATTTGTATTTGTTCTTCCTATGTTTTCTAAAATTTCTACAATAACCACAAAATACCAGCCTCAGTAACATGAAAGGCACACTGCAAATTACTTGCTTTGAAATTTAGAAACAAATTTTATTTAAGATCTGAAATACAATTCCTAAAATATCAACTTTTCCAGAAAACCGTGGCTACACAATAATGCATTGCCTCTATCATGTTAGAACGTGCATTAGACTCAAATATAAAAACCATGAAACAAATCACCATCCTTCAACAATTTAAGCAAAGATAGAATGCCTAAGAACAACAGAGATGGACTTGCAGAGGATGGGCTGTTTTACTTCAAGCACCATAAAAAAAAAAAAGAGCACAAATGCATGGGTTTTCAGGTATATACATTAAGTTGAACCTTTGGCACTAGGAATCAGGGCATTTTTTTCACGTAGCATTAACACATATTAGAAAATTGTGTAGTGTCAAAGGGATAGGAACCACCAGCATTCAAGCAATGTTGTCAACTAGGCAATAAAATGTTCTACTGAATGTTTCTTCTTTGTTCTAATTACTGCATACACTGGTAGCAACTTTGAAATGAGAAAAGGAGCTTACACTCCTTTTATTTTCTGTTAAAACAGAACAGAAAACAAACTGAAACATAAGCCCTGTGATACATTAACGATTTTAAAGAACATCAATTTTACAAGAAAAAGACTAAGAACAGAAAGTGTTTACAGATACAGGACAGAAATGGTGAGCCGTCTGTAGACGCTCACAGGGCTTTGCGGTGGTACTCAGCAGAAGCCACTTTGTAATCACTGGCAGTAAAGAGAGATGCAGAATTCTTTGCCAGATATTTTAGGAAATCATGCAAATAGCCCAACAATAATGCAAGGCTTTTCTCATCAAGGGGTGTATAGGCCAACATTGCTCCAATTCTTACAAATAATCTCAGTAGGTGTGGTGCTCCATAAACCTGGGACATTGGAGCATCAGGGTGAGCCAAAAGGATTTCAGCATACTGGGGCCTCTCAAATTTGTAGAGCAGCTGAGTGCCCAACATCACATTGAAATATTCTTTTATTCCTGCCACAACTTCATTAACCGCATATTCCTTATTATCAACATTTCCCTGCGATTTCTTGCAATTTGCATACTCCTCCAGAATTGCATCTACATTTTTCTTAGCAGGGAGTTGGAACAGCTGCTTCTGCCTGGTAACTAAGTCCCAGTCCTCAACAAGCCATGGTTTTAATTCTTCAGGAATCTTCACTTTAACTTCCATTCTATTCTTAAATGCCTCCTCGCTTTCAACAGTGGGGTCAGCCCGGGCCCTTTTCTTCCGAGGGGGCTGAGGTGCTTCGCTGGTACTGCCACCGTCTCCGTTTCCAGGAGTCTTCTGTTTGTTCTTTCTGGTCTTCCTCACGGATCCTGAAGGGGGGTTCTCTGCAGAGCGACCCCCCCATCTTCCTGGGAGAGCTGGTTCCAGATTTTTCTGCTGGGGACCAGCTGTCTTCTTTCCTGAGGAGGCCCCTCTCATCTTACTTCTCTGCATGTTGCTTCTAGTTGGTTTTTTAAAGTTGTCTTCTTCTGCAGATTGTTGTCCACGAGGTTGAGAACCCTGCTTTCTGGAACTCATTCAACCCTGTTTTTATTCCAACCACTGTAACATAAAATATTTTACTTGGTTGTTTACTATGACAACCTTTATGCTTCATAAAGGCCCATCAGAGCATAACACATTCTAAGTCTGTTAAAATCTGGATTTCAAATCCGATTTTAGGACCCTTCATAAGTGATTTTTTACCTCCTTTCCCTCTCTCTGTTCCTCACTACCAGCCACTACTCTCATCTCACCCAAATACTCATCATACCTACTCATAAATTACTTTCTTGATGCCACTCAAAAGATAGGAATGCAATTTTAAAGAAAGAAGAAATTAAGTGAAAAAGGAAAGTATAAAAGGCAGTGGAGTTGAAATTTAAGACTTTTGAACAGAAGAAATGACAATTTCTTCTGAAATATGGAATAAGGAAGGTTATATTTAGTTGACTAGGGGCAAAATGAGTAACAGTAAAGGTTCTTGTATAAGTCCAGAAAGGCCTGAACTAGGATGATGGCAGAGTCAAGAGAAACTGACGAATACAGCAATCATGAAGAACACAGTAACCAAAGGAGGGAGAAATCTGCATTTTCAAGTCTGGGTAATTAATGAATTTAATAAAAGCATTGAATTTAGGGCTCAGTTTGGAATCAGAAATAAAATGACAGAACATGGGTAATTCATCTATTCATTAATTTATTTGGTTTGTCATCATACATTACTGCATATCTGCTTTGGGACAAGTACTATGGTACGTGCTAGAGATCCAAATATCTAAAGTGACAATTATAAAACAATAAGGTTAGTATAATGATAGTTATAGGCACAAAATAGTTTGGGAGCAGACATAAGAAATGGTACATGACACCACCGTCATGATTGTTGAAGGTTAAAAAAAAAGATTGGTGAGGGTGGAGTCAGTGATGACTCCCAGGTATGGGTGATTAGGTCATTAGTATTATCACCAAATTATAATACTCCTCCATTTACAGGAGCAGGAAATGGATATTTCATGTGAGGTGTACAGTTAAACATAAAATTTTAAAGCTCAGTTTAGTCCAGCTAACTGGGTACCCCCTACAAAGAAATTAAAGCTTGTGTGAGAAGTAAAAGCCAGAAATGGAGATCTGAGAGTAAACATCACATAGCTGGTAGTGGACACTATGAGGGTCAACAAAATCAGGGAGAAAGAATTTCAAGTATGGAATTCTGGAAAACCTAAGGACTAAACGCATTTAAGGGATGGGCAGAGAGAGAGACCACAAACAGAACAAAAATGTTAAGAGTAGCCATAGGAGAATTAGAAGAATGTTATTTTGGATGCCAAAGAAGGTAAGAGTTCCAAGAAGAAAAAGGTATAATCTACAGTGTAAAGTGCAGCAGGGAGTGCTAGTAAGATAAGGATGCAAAAAACAGGCTTCCATTATTCTTATGGTGTGACAGAGGAAAAAATTCCTTTGACTTACACAATCTTCCTTCTTTCCCTTCCAAGAACTCCTAGTGATTTCCCAGATGAAATCTTATAGATCTTCTGGGATGGTCTAGAAGGGTGAAGTGGGAGATACAACCTAGAAAGAAAAGCAGGTATCTGCAATGAAGATGAACTTTTGTGAAATCATCTAAGAAAAAAATGAGTAATTTATAAATATGTGGTTTATATGTTTACATTTAAACAAATAAATGAATCATACACCACAATTGTAAATCAGAGAAAATACTTGCATTCATATACCACAATTGTGGTATCAGAGAAAATACCTGAGTTCTGCTGTCAGATAGACCTTTACTTCAATTAAGTTCTATCATTTATGTGTTGGGACGTCAGACAAGACATGTAAGCTCTGTTAGCCTCTTTTGGTCATCTGTAAAATGCGGCAAGTTACCTAAAGCCTTCACAGGCTCCTATGAGAATTTCATAAAGGAGATGTGGCTGAACAGCTAGCACAGTACCTTGCAGGAATATTTGCACGTGGATACAAAGATGTTCAATGTAGTGGTGTTCACAATACTGAAGAAATGGAAAACACCTACCTATTCTTCAATAGGAAAATAACATAATGTATGAATACTACAGAACATTCAAATGAATTAAGCAGAGATCCATGTACTGACATGGAAAGATGTTCAATATGTATTAGGTAGATAGGCAGGTGGCATAACTCTAAAGGATCCCAAATTCAATAGAATCTTAAAGAGACAGATAAAGTTGGGCAGGGTGGCTCATGCCTGTGATCCCAGCACCTTGGGAGGCTGAGGAGGGTGGATCACGAGGTTAGGAGTTCAAGACCAGCCTGGCCAACATGGTGAAACCCCGTCTCCACTAAAAATACAAAAATAAAAAATTAGCTGGGCATGGTGGTGCATGCCTGTAGTCCCAGGTATTTGGGAGGCTGAGGCAGGAGAATCGCTTGAACCCAGGAGGCAGAGGTTGCACTGAGCTGAGATTGTACCACTGCACTACAGCCTGGGCAACAGAGTGAGACTCTGGCTCCCAAAAAAAAAAAAAGATAGGTTTTAGGAAGAGTTTCCTCAAACACTCTCATTTGAGTGTGTGTTTTAAACAGGTGTCTATAAATGTGCATGGAAATATCTAGAGAGATAAAATACCAGCCTGTTAAAATCAGTGTAACCTCTGAGAAAGGGATGATGGTAGACTAGCCTTAAACCAGGTTTCTCTAGTAACTATAATTTTCACCCACAGAAAAAGCCCATTAGCAATTCTGTAGCTATTAACACTGTGCAGGCAGGTGTCAGGGAGGCTCTGAGAAGGAAATCAAAGAAATGTTTGTTAGTAGCACTCGTGGGCAAAAGAAAAGTAGGCTGGGCACAGTGGCTGACACCTGTAATCCCAGCACTTTGGGAGGCGGAGGCGGGTGGATCACTTGAGGTCAGGAGTTGACAACCAGCCTGGCCAACACAGTGAAACCCTGTCTCTACTAAAAATGCAAAAATTAGCCAGGCATGGTGGTGCACACCTATAATCCCAGCAACTTAGGAGGCTGAGGCAGGAGAAGAGCCTGAACCTGGGAGGTGGAGGTTGCAGTGAGCCGGGAGATCATTCCACTGCACTCCAGCCTGGGCGACAATGAGACTCTGTCTCATTCATAAATAAATGAATGAATGAATGAACGCTTGAAGACTAGATCCCTGAGTGAATAAATAAATAAAAGCTTGAAGCCTGGGCGACAGTGAGACTCTGTCTCATGAATAAATAAATAAATGCTTGAAGACTAGATCCCTGAATAAATAAATAAATAAATAAATAAATAAATGCTTGAAGACTAGATCCCTGAATCAGGAAAGCCAGTTATTGGAAGAGAGGCCTAGATGCAAGTACTTTCACTAAGCAAACAATATCCTCTAACTGAAAGAGCACAAAGCTCTGAGCAGAAATTCAAGGGTAAAGTCAGTCTTTAGAAAGCATCAAAATTTGTAAATATGGAGACTGATTTTGTGGGAATCAGAAACCTTCTGGCTGAGAGGGATACAGAGACACATCCTGTGAAGTATCAAAGACAGGGGTGATAGTGGCCAGTGTATCATGGCATTAAATTGTAAGCTGTTGTGCTTCTAAAATAATGTTTCTAAAAGAACTGCTTTGTGACCAGGACAGAAAAGATACAGTATCTGAAGACTTCAGAGAAATGTTAATACAGGTTGCGTATTCCTTACCCAAAATGCTTGGGATGAGAAGTGTTTCAGATATTGGAATATTTGCATATGCATGAGAACATCTTGGGGATGGGACCCCAGTCTAAACACAGAATTCATTTATGTTTCATATACACCTTATATACATAGTCTGAAGGTAATTTTATACAGTATTTTAAACATTTTTTTTCGCCTGTCACATGAGGTCAGATGTGGAATCATCCACTAGTGGCATCTTGGCATTAAGAAAGTTTCAGATTTTGGAGCATTTCAGATTAGGGATACTCAACCTGCATGAGTAAATCCAGAAGGCCCATCTTGGGGCTCATAGTGCAGAGGTTCCATAAAACAAAGGGATGGCAGTGAAACTACCACCTAAAGAAAGCAACATGACCTAGTGCCAACCAAACTGTGTAAAACACATTGAGTAGGGCCACACTGGACCAAAAAAACCATTCTGGAAGTTACACTGGTCCCTGGTGGGTTTACAATTGTGAATAGGGGTAGAGGGGAGCAATGACTCAACACATGGAGAAAATGGGGACACAAATTAGGGACAACAGTCACCAACTATTTCCCCACCTGTTCCCTACAGGTAAGCTCTAGGGTAAGCCATAAATTGAGAAAACACATTTGTACTTATGTTTGTCTTAGTTTTCTATCTTTAACAGTTTACTCTCTCATAAATAATACATTTAAACAGAGGTGAGCTCATAATGGCTATCAAATCTTAGACCTTTCCTTTTTAAAAAATTTACTATGATAACCAGTCATCTTCCCATGTTAAGGTTATAATATGCATCCATTTTGAGTCATATAATAGATATTTCGTCAAATGAGCATACCTTAATTTACTTAGCCACGCCTTCCCTGGAAATATCCAGTGCACCCCTCCCACCAATGTATTATTTAATAATTTATTTTAATAATAAATTAAATAATTTATATAATTATATAAATAATTAAATAAATTAAATAATTTAATAATTTAATGAAAACATTTTATGTGAACATTTTTTGCCCTCACTTCCTATTACTCTTTTAAGACTCTCAGAAGCAGATTTAGTGAATAGAGAGATAGAACACTCTTAATACATTGCCAAATTACTCCCCCTGCACAAGTCGTGCCAATTTTTAATCCCACAGTGTGTAAAAATGTTTACTATGCCTCACGCTCTGGCCAATACTGGAGATCTTCATTTTAAAATAATTTTTGCCTTTCATTTTTAAGTTTAAAAATTAAGAACAAGGCCAGGTGCAGTGGTTCACGCCTGTAATCCCAGCACTTTGAGAGGCTGAGGCGGGCAGATCATGAGGTCAGGAATTTGAGACCAGCCTGGCCAACATAGTGAAACTCTGTCTCTAATAAAAACACAAAAACTAGCCAGGTGTGGCAGCAGGCCTGTAGTCCCAGCTACTCGGGAGGCTGAGACAGGAGAATCACTTGAACCCGTGAGGCAGAGGTTGCAGTGAGCCGAGATTGCGCCACTGTGCTCCAGTGACAGAGTGAGACTCAGTCTCAAAAAAAGAACAAATATTTTGATAGATTTCTTTTATATTTTAACTCCTTAATCCATCTAGTAGTTTGTAAGTTATGAACTGACAATCTTTGTTCACCTCAATTAATTAGATCTTGTGGTACCATTAATATATCCTTTATATACCTATAGATAATAAATTATATAGATATGTATTCTTCCCTTATCACCTCCCCCTCTCCAACCCCAATCCCAGGAGTATCCTCTGAATGAGCATGTATGCCTTCAAATCTTTTCATGTACATATTCACACAAAATGTAACTTTAAAGACTCAATGTGTATATTATACACATAGGCATACATGAATATATAGCACGCATTTACTTAATTTGTTTTGACAAAGGTGAGATGCATACTGCTCTGCACCTTGCTTTGCTCACTTACCACGGGCATCTTTCCATGTCAGTACATACCTACCTCTTTTTAATATTCATAATAAATTCTATAATCTGTTATGTACTATAACTTAACCAGTGTCTGAACATTTATGTTGTTCCCAATATTTCATTATTTAAAAAATACTGCAATGCACATCAGTATATACAAAGACTAGAGCATTGTTTAAGTACCTCTGAAGGATATATTCCAACAGGAACTATTTAGTGAAAGGATTTGCTTATTTATAACTTTGGTGAAATGGAGCCAAATTCACCTCACAAAAAACTATTTTAGTTTGTACTCCCAACAAAAATGTAAAAAATCATTTTTTTTCATGGCTTCAGGAACACTGGACAAACATCTTTTTGAAAAAAAAAAGTTAGAGGGGGTTTTCTTGGGCCAATCTAACATGCAGTAAGATGATTTCACTTGAATTTGCATGATGTAATCTTTTCATACATTCACTGGTCACATATATGAATATTTTTGTTCTCTCTTCTACTAGGTTGTTTGCTATTGTTTTCTAATAAGTATTAGTTTTATTTTATGTTGGAAATTCTTTTTCCAAACCATCACTTTCTCTTGTCTAATGGTACCTTATTATAAGACTGTTGCATGTATACGAGCATGTATCTCTCCATATCACAGACAAATCTATCAGTTTTTCTCTTGTAACCTTTGGCTTTTATGTCATGCTTAGGGAAAATGCTCCAAAAATATTGTAGAAGTGATTTCCTACCCATTATTGGTACTTTTATAGTTTTCCTCAAATGCATAACTTTTACTAATATTCTTCACTGAAGAGTTTAACATTTCCCCCTTAGTATGAACATTCTATATTCTCAGAGGTATATGGGTCTTTTAAGGTACTTTCTTCCCAGTGATTTTTGATTTTTTTTTTTTTTTTTTTTTTTTTTTGTCTTGCTCTGTCACCTAGGCTGGAGTGCAGTGGCTCGATCTCGGCTCATTGCAACCTCCGCCTCCAGGTTTCAAGCAATTCTCTGCCTCAGCCTCCCAAGTAGCTGGGATTACAGGCGCCCACCACCACATCTGGCTAACTTTTATATTTTTAGCAGAGATGGGTTTCACCATCTTGGCCAGGCTAGTCTTGAACTCCTGACCTTGTGATCCACCCACGTTGGCCTCCCAAAGTGCTGGGATTACAGGCGTGAGCCACAACTCCCAGTGATTATTTAACTTTTAAAGGTATCACTGTCTATAGCCCATCCATTCTGTCACAGTGGTATACCTGATAGTTCTCACCAGTATTAATTTAATTATCATGGTTTAAAGGTATAAATATTGCTCTTGAATAACACTTGCAAATAGCTACACCAAGGATATTTAATGCCGTATTATTTTAAATAGCAAAACACTGGGACCAATAGAAAAGGTTATCAATAGTGACTTCACATATTATATGATTAACATTTTATAATAAAATATATATATTTAAAACTACACTGACTTTCTGATCTACTCTTATCCGTGGATCTCACATATGGCCAGCCCAATTTTTCAGTTAATCATCACTGCATATTGTATACTTTGTAGACATGCCATTCAGACTGGGCTCATTCCATCCTAGGTTTTACTCATCCTCTGAGGCCCAGGTCAAGGTCCTCTTCCTCTGTGAGGCTGTTTTTCTCTATTTCACATCACCCTGACCCTTGCTTTCTCTGAGTCCGTTACCTCGACAGTGCACCCCCTACCTTTAGCCGTTAATCATTCTCTAAATGATCTCACGTAAAGGTATTCTGTGCCTATCGATCTAATGCATCTATTCCAGCCGGGCAGTACCCTCCTCTGAAACCTACTTTCAGAAGAGAGAGAAACACGGAAATTACAGCGACTCCATATGTAGCTGTCAAAAGACTGAAAAACCTTCAAACCTTACTTCGTCTCCACATGCAAGCAATGGGCCATGTGGAAATCAGACTGCAAAAGGTGGTATCTTTTGTGTATGCATGTATCAGAAAAGAGTGTGAATAACATTTTGTTGGAATAAACCTTTAAATGCACATATACCATATCAGTTACATTCATACCAATTTTCTCTTCTGGATCTTGGAACATTTCCTTTATATTTAATAGATTTTTTTTTTTTTTTTTTTTAGTTTGAGACAAAGGAGGAATGATACAAAAGCTGTTAGCACACAGGATATTCAGTGAAAAGATTTGCTTATTTATAAATTTGGCTTGAAATGCTAGCTTAAATTATAGCTCCTGGAAATTCCCTCATAAATAAATATGATCAATATACTTAAAACCTTTCTAGATCGTTAAGCCAGAAGTCATAATTTCGGAATTCAGTTCTAGTGGTAACTGCTGCTTCTGGAAAATGAGGAGAGAAACCAACAGTATTATTATTATTATTATTTTTTTTATAATTCCAAAAAGAGATATTCACGGCTTTTAGAAGCATGTATAAGTGTGCAGACAAAACAAGAGATATCAGGACTAACAGAACCATAGTTATTATTAAAACACTTACATGTGCCATGCACTGTCCTGGTACTCTACATGTAATCCTCTCAACAATCCTATGAAGTAGGAACTATTATTATCATCTCTGTTTCATATATGAGGAACTTAGGTATAAAGTGAGTAAGTATCTTGCCCAAGATCACACAGTCAAGTGGCAGAGCCAGGATTTAAATTCAGGAAGTATTTCCTCTTAACCACTAAACTATGCCGCATATAGGATGCTCTGAAGAAAAATATAATATATGGATCTGTGGAACTACTACAGGGATCGACTGTAATATCTTTCATCAAGGAATGTAAGATTACACAGGTCTCTGTTGCTTATGCAGTTTCTATACTGGAACTACCAATGGACTTAGCTCCATCTCTTCCCTTCTCAGAATTTAGACTACTTTCCCAGACAGGAGCTTATTAATTTTCAAAATATTCCTGGACAGTTAGGAAGGTTATGTGGTATTATCTTGTTTGAGAACTGAGGCCAGAAGGGAGGCACTTACCCAAGATTCTGTAATCAGGGAAGGTTCTGCAATCAGGATCAGATCTCCTGATCCTTACTATACAGCAAACTTAGCTTTTCGGATGGTGACCTAGAAGGTCAAACAAAAGGACAGGAAAGGACATAAAATAAAAAGATATGAGATATGGCTTTCTTCTTCATGAGCCAATGCAATTTCATCACACACAAAGGACACCAAAGCTGATAAATAATGTACAAGTGTTTCTTTTTCCTTTCTTGTGGCTACATTTTCAAATTTAATTTATTGTACATTTATATAATTTCTGACAGATTTTTAAAAAAACTTTTCCTTAAAGATAATTTCAAATGGATAAAATAAAAGAAATAGTATTATAAACCTACATGAATCCATCATCCAGCTTTCAACAATTACCAACTGAAGGCCATCTTGTTTCATCTATAACCCCACCCACTGCTCCCCCGCACCCCCGACTTTTTCAAGCTCACCGGAATATCTGGCTTTTGTATTTTATTCCAGAAAAATTTAAACGTATACCAAGGAAAGCAGATAAATATAAGGAACCCATTGCGTATCACTCAGCTTAAATTATTATTAATTTAGGGCTAATTTTGTTTCATCTATACCCCTCCCCATTTCCCCCCACCGCTGAGGTTATTTTGAAGCAAAACCTAGTCATTAATGTATTTAGAAGTCAACCTCAGACATTATATTATTTAATCCGTAAATATTTTTGCATATGTCTCTACAAAAAAAGGACAATTTGAAAATATAACCACAATACTACTGTGACGCCTAAAAAAACTGACATCAATTCCTTAAAAAACATCAAATATCGAATCCGTGTTCCAATTTTCCCGATGCGTCTTAAATGTATTTTTACAGTTGGTATGTTAGATTCAGGATCCAAACAAGGCCTACTCATCGCATGTGGTTCATCTCCAGCTCGCTCTCGTTCTCCATCTCTTTCTTTCTCGCACCCCCCACACCTTTTATTTAACTTTTCAATATGGAAAAATTACAATCCCTGCTATTTTCAGGCAATTCCCAAATAGCAAATTATTTCATTGGTAAAAATCGATATATCTCTTTTATCTTTTATTCTAGGAAAGAAGTTGATGGTAGAAAGGGCACTACAATTAGCGAATCTGCATAATTTATAATTTTTCTCATTCTATTACGCAGATTATTTATCTCCATAACAATACCTAATATCTTCAGGAGACAGGCTCATATTACATGCTCCATACGCACTATTATACAGTACACGTCTCTGAGGTAGATACTATTATTATCACCATTTTACAAACATGGAAACCGAGACACAGAAAGAACAGGAGCCTTGCCCAAGCTGGGCGTTGGCAAGCAGGAATTTGAATCCAGCTCTGACCGATTGTGAAGCCACTAGCTAATCCCGTCTATACCCGACGAAAAGAGGAAATCATCGACCCTTTCTCCCCACCCCCACCCCGAAACCTGAAACGAGAATCCAGATCTTCCCAGCAGCCGACGTGTGATCACTGCCGTTCCTCCAACCGCCATAGTAAAGCCAGGTTTCTCTGGCAACTGATATCCATAGGCAGACACGTCACCCTGGAGGAGGGCGTATGCTCTTCAGCCAATCACAATCGTCTTGTCTAAGTTTTAGAATGTTCCATAACCAAATGATTGGATAACCACCCCCACGTCAGCAATGACACTTAGCCGCAGTAAAGGCGGGTGCTAGCAACCTGCTTCTTCACTGTTAAGGCCTACAGCAAACCAATCACCTTCCTCCGTTAGTGCGAGTTCCGGCCAATGACGTTCGCCCTCTTAGGTTTTTAGCCCGCCCTCCAACAGCATGACAGCCGTTGGGTCATAAGTCTATAGGGCAGAATGTTCACGTGGCCTATTTCACGACCCAGAGTTCCTCTGACCAGAGGGTTTTTTTTTTTTTTTCTTTTTCTTTCCTTTTTTTTTTTCTGCAGGGAAGCATTATGGGTTTGTGTTTTCCCCCCCACCTCACTGGGAGAGGAAGTGTCTACGTGGCCTGCGGAAATAGGATAGGCGGAAATGAGCTAAGGTTCCCGCGAGTGGGGAAGCGCGAGGTCATATCTGGGGCCACGCCCCCAGACCTGTGGCGCAACTCTCCGAACATGGAAAAAAAAGACGCAATGGGGCTTCTGCTGTGTTTGCGAGGGAGGGTCCCGAGTGCCGCGGGCGCAAGGCATTAAGGCCAGTGTGTCAGTGCGCGAGCAGGCTCGCGTGAGGTCCTGGGGTTGCTCTGGGAGCGCGCACCGGCCCTCGTGGCGCGGGAGGTAATGTGTGTGCGCAGGCGTGCGCCCCTGGCGTCGGGCTGGTGAGCGCCACAGCGCGCACGCGCGCGCGGCCGCGCGTGCCCGCTGGTGTGGGGGGGGGCGGTGAGGGGAGGGGTTAGCTACGGCGCGCAGGTTGTTATCTATTTCTGTATTGTTTGAAAATGTTCTAATGAAAAGGAAAATAATTAAGGCAAGGCGACAATAACAGAGATAAAAGGGGCTTTGTCGGAAATATTTTGGCTTTCTCCACTGATTTAATTAAAGACTTAAAAAATACACTTCCTACGTTTTCTTTTCTGCCAAAATCCCATTGTAAACCACAGACCTCCAGTGATTAAGAGCCAAACCCTTCCATCGCCACATTAGCAACTCCAAAGACAGGCTTCTTTCAAGTTCTCTAGTATCCTCCTCCCTCCCCTCTCCAAACCTCCCCCCTCCCTCCAAGGCTGCATGCAGTTTTCTTGGCACAAATACAATTTTCCTATGAGAATATCTATACAACAGCCTTCACCATTGTTAGGGACTCCGAATTTTTGTGGGGATTGAGGCGCTCTTACCTTTGCGTCCTGATTTCCAAGCAAGCACACTGCCCTTCTTCAGGCAAATACGCACTGTTAATTTTCCAGAAAGTTCTGTGGGTGAGGTTTATACCTCTCGAGTCTCCCACTAGATGCCGCCAAATCCCAGCAAAGGATTGGCTGTTTGGTCCCTGGGATTATGGGATTTTGTTTCCCTCCCCACTCCCCTTCTGATTTGCTGAACACTACAATCTATGGGGATCGTGGCTGTCGTTCATTACTAGGGAAAAATAAAATCAACTTCTGTAAATAGCGCTAGTAGGCAGGGGACTATGATCCAAGGTCCAAATAATTTTGCTCATTTCTTTCCTTTTCTCCTTGAAAACAAAAATAAAAGGCCCCTCCAACACTCTCTTCTTTTGTCCTTGTCTTGTTTAATCAGAGTTAATGAATGACCCAAGGATTGATGCTGAATATGCTAACCCTTTTTCCTCACCTTTTCAAATGATTACAATTCACCCGAACTGAAAATACAGATAGCGGTTCAGTCAGTAAAGATAGATGAGAACTCATCAGTAAAACTTGGAGCCTGGTATTGAAAACTGATTTTCCTTTTCTCTTGAAATTTGTATCAGATATGTGTGATTATACCCTATTTTCTGTAGTGTTTTTGGTAAACTTTATTGTCTTTGGAGTAAGAGACCTAAATGTAAACCGCATTCCACCACCTCAGTACCCTGGGCCAATGATTTATGTTCTGTGACCCTCAGTTTTTTGTATGCTTTCTGTATTTTAGATGCTGTGTTATATCCTTCACGTCGATTTTTTAAAAATTCATCACCAAGTCCTTATTAGATGAGCACTACTAAATCAAAGTCAAATAACAAAAATCATACCCCTTTCAGTTATCTATCATATATACTTGTATACACACATAGGAGGGATTTTTTTAGAGCAGTGGTTCCCAAGGTATGTTTTCTGGATATACCAGAAACATCAGTATAACCTGAAAAGTTGTCAGGAATTCACATTCTCAGGTCCGACCCCAAACATAATGAATCAGAAGTTATCAGGGTGGGGTTTGATAATCTGTGTTATTAACAAACTATCCCAGTGATTCCAGCACACACTGAAGTTTGAGAACCACTGCTTTGGAGAGTAGAAATGCAACGCATATTTTTGTACACACCACTAGAGGGTGCTACAGAATGTAAAGCAAAATAATAAATGATATACAATATGTTTTCAGACACCCTCCATATTATCAGTCATATTTTACAGATTAAAAACTAATGTGTAGAGATGTCAGATTATTTTCTTAGTGCACACAACAAGTATGGGAACCAGGATTTGAACTTTACCTGCCTCTAGCCCAAACCCCTAATAGTACTCTGTTGTTTAACCATAATGACTTGTCTTTCCAAGCCTCAAAATGCATTAGAAATAGCTTGTTCCCTGCTGTGGCTAATGTTGACTGGCTTGTCAAGAAGAGGGCAGGAAAGCAAACTAAGTAAGTGAAAATATTTCGATATTTCATACTCATACTCTTCCTCACCTCCATTCTATAATAGGATATCACATAAAGGCTTCTGAGTGTTTCCTTTCTTGCTTTTTAATTCCTCAAATAATGTTCTTTTTACTCTGCAGTTTCCTTTTTTATTTATGTCTAAATCTCTTCCTCTTTTTTTTTTTTTTTTTAAAACAGAATCTCGAACTGTTGCCCAGGCTGGAGTGAAGTGGCACGATCTCAGCTCACTGCAACCTCCACCCCCGCCCCCCGGGTTCAAGTGATTCTCCTGTCTCAGCCTTCCAAGTAGCTAGGATTACAGGCATGCACCACCATGCCCAGCTAGTTTTTGTATTTTTGGTAGAGATGGGGTTTCACCATGTTGGCCAGGCTGGTCTCAAACTCCTAACCTCAGGTGATCCACCCACCTTGGCCTCCCAAAGTGCTGGGATTACAGGCATGAGCCACCGCGCCTGGCCATATGTCTAAATCTCTTCTATGTGTTTTGAAGGAATCAGGGTGGTGAGGAAACAGTTGTTGAAAACCTGTTATGGGCCACGTACTCTGTACACCCATTAATCTCAACAATAGGCCTGCAAATTGGGTGATATTGTTTTATAGATGAGGAAAGTGAATTCTACAGTGTGTAATTATTTTTCTTTGGTCATATAACTTGTAAATAGGGGAGCCCAGATCATTCCTGGCATATCTGCCCATACTATTTTACTAAGCCTTCTACTTTTTGGCTTTGAATCTAGTTTAGTTATTTTCTTGTTAAGTGACTTTTTACAAGTTATTTAACTTTTCTAAGCCTCAGTGTCACATACTAAATAGAAACAAACATTTCTATTTCATAATCTTAGAGCTGCACTATCCAATACTGTGGCCATTAGTCATATATGACTAAATTTAAATGCAGTAAAATTTAAACATTTAGATCCTCAGTTGTACTAGTCTCATTCCAGGGTCTTGATAGCTACTTACAGTTATGGCTACCATATCAGACAGTGCAAATACAGAATATTCCACCACCACAGAAACTTCTATTGGACAATGCTGATTTAGAGGATCTAAGGTATGTAAAAGGGCCTAACATGGTGCATATCTCATGGCAGATGCCCAAGAAAAGTGATTTCGTCTGCTTTTTTCTTTCAGCATCAGAGCTAGGGGTGTTCTGTTTTATTGACGGGGTCAGGAGAGGGAAGTAACTTACCCAAGCTACTGTGATAAGGGATATGTCTGGCACTGGGACCTGTCTCCTGACTCTTGCTGCAACATTCTATCTAGTATACCTATCCTTATACTTTACTGAGTGAAGTTTCAAAGCCAAGCATGTGAATAGTGTGAATTAACTTTGCAGTCAGGGTGGCAACAGAAAAAGGCATAGGAACTGAATGCCTCCTGTGTGCCGTGCAGCACTGTGTCTAGCTCTTCACATCTGTTATCTTAGCGAATCCTCACTGAAGCCCAGAGAAGTTAAAACATTCACCCCAAGTTGCTCAGCAAGTAAATGGCAGAGCAAGCCCAGGCTTTTTGCCATTATGCCATACTACTCGCTGAAATGTGAATACTCCCCTGCCACCTCCGCTTACTACTGGGTCCTCAGAAAATGGGAATTACTCTTCTTTTGAATGTATAGCTGAACCACTGTCTTCACAATCTGTTTCAAATGGAATGGAAAAATAGCTGAGGTCAATGTTTGTTTGGCTCCAAGGCCCAAGGCCAGACAGAGAATATTTATGGTCTCAGCCTTCAAAGGACAGGCAATGGCTCCGAGAACCCTGTGTGAATTTTCAAGGCCACCATTAGCACATACATTGCTTTTGTGCTAATTAGAAAAGCGTGACACCTGGGGGCAGATAAATTGTAGAGAAGGGCCCATTCCAGTGGAACAATGAGAAAAAGACTTTTTTTTCTATAGGCTGTTGCAACCTCACCAGAGCAGCTGAAGAATGAATTTCAGCCTGGACTCTACCCTATTAGTTGGGCACCCTTGTGGAGGGTGCAACCTGCCTAACATTTTCTGCTGGCCCTGTCTTACCTCGTGACTAAGAAAGCCTTCCTAGGCCTGGAAGGTAGCAGTCAGTCTGTTCTGGAGGGTGGAGAGAGATACCAGTGTTTTCTCATGGTTTCTGGGTAGTAGATGAAATTGGTCTATTCTAAGGTTAATTTGATATTTTAAAATTTTGGTTCTCACTAGCTTATTGGATTTTTTTGAAGAATGTTTGATTAATGTAAAGGTTAAAAATAAGACCTATTTCAGCTAAGCAAATGGTATTTCTTTAATAAGGATGTTTTGCTATCTGTTTCTACCTGCCTCATTCCATAGGAATTTTATAAAGCTAGTCCAGGAACGTAGTCTGAATCAACCTAGTTTGCTAGCCTGTGAGAGACAGGGCATAGATGAAAATAGTCATGGGAAAGTTTTATCCTTTTAAGCGTATCCTCTTCTAGTTCCTCTCTCCTCCTGTGACCAATCCCGGCCCCAAGATTGACCCACCCATTTGACAGGAAGAGGTTACTTCTTCAAATGACCCAAAACACTGAGAACCTGAACCTAATCAATAATGTCCTTGGGTGACCTTGTGATGCCAGACTCACACGTAATTCCTTGTTGTCCCCTTCCTAATAGTTTAGCATTCAATTTGCCAAAATTTGTGGTTTTGTGAGCTGAAGACTTCACTTGGAATGATCCTGTAAACTCATCCATGCTACACACCAACCCACAGAAACGAGGACCGCTTTTCCCAAGTGTATGCTGAGTCCTACAATCTAAGTGCTGCCTCAAGAGGATGCCTTGAGTAATTTTTCCAGAGTTAAATTTGCTTATGCATCTAACCTCCACCCACACTCCCCATTACATTGGGAATGATAAAAGCTATGCCTTTTGAAAATATCAGCTGTCATATTATTAAGGAGGACAAACCAGTAGTAAAGCACTGCGTCTAAATTGTTGAAGCTTTTTTTTTTTTTTTTTAGACGGAGTTTCACTCATGTTACCCAGGCTGGAGTACAATGGCGCGATCTCGGCTCACCGCAACCTC